CACCACCCAAAAAAGGATCATTTAAAAAAATCAGAAAAACGTAAAATAAAAAACCAACTGAGACAATGGCAAACTTAAATCCACTTCGCTCAGCTACCCCGTGCACATTGACTACGCACGGGCCCCTAGTTATGCACCAACTGTGCATAGTTATGCATGAAATTGTGCATGTTTATGCACAACACAATGTATAAGGATTTAGTTTGTGCCTACTCCCTCGGGAACGATATACCCGCCGTGCTGCCGTGCGTTGCTCCCACACAGATAAAGCGAGTCTTCTGCTTCTGAATTGCGTACCTGAAAACGCTCACAATGAATGAATGGGCCCGGGACCAGCCCGTGCTGGGAAACCTCGTCAGCGTTTTCACCGTGTACTCTCCTCCCTAAATTGTGCTGCGCTCGTTCCTTGAGGGCTGAGCGCTGCGTCGGGCTGCGCCTCCCCCATCCACCCGCCCCGGCATCCTTGCTCACCGCACCGCCGCACCTCTCGTTTGCTGCTAACCAGGTTACGGCGCCTCTGTCGTGCGAGGCCCCAGATGTCTCCCTACATCGCACAATAGTTTGGCGTTGCGGAAACGCTGCGGCGCCGCTTGCTTCCCTTGGAATTCACACCCTCAGGCCCCCGTCGAGTCATGTAGGATGACGTTGATTGAGCTCCTCTGATTCAATCCGCAAGAGGAAACAGTCTTGTGTGGTTGAGTGTTTATGAACCGTTCCTGGTTCACGGCTTATATGTAAGTAGTCCACACTGACAAAGTTAGAGAAATTTTGATTCCCACCCCTTCGATGCGTCTCCGTCCGGCTTAGTCAGATAGGCATTTTAGTTGCTGTAACTTAAAGCTTAGTTCGTGCTACTAAAACTGTGATGCTCATGGCTGACCCGATCAAACAATATTTTTATGGCTGGGACGAAACATTTCACTCAGTGCAATAGATGTCAACGGTATGAGAGGTGTGCAAAGTTCGTCACACCGAGCTCGCACCGAGTGTGGTGTTCACGTCAAACAAAAAGCGTTTATTGAGACTGAGAATAAGTTTTGTCCTGCCTATTGCATAGTCATTACAGACTTTAACTAAAGAGATTTAGCTTTGGGAAAATAAAATAAAAATTTTCGTTGCGCCTGTGTTGGGAGTAAGAGTGGCACACGAAGCGCAGAGTGCGCGCGCGCGCGTGTGCGTGAAACGGAAGGAGAAGGGGGGGGGGCAAAAACTGACTGATGGAATGCATTGCCGGCATTGCCGGGCGTTTGCTCAGGGTTGTGCAGGCGCAGCAGGCGCCGTCCTTCTTCATATCTGCCCCGGTATCTCTCTCTCACCCCCTCTCTCTCTCCTTTGCCCCTTCATCTTTTTTTCCGCCCTCACTACTGTCACTCTTCATCGCCTGTCTTTTTTCTATTCGCCCTCTTTTCTTCACTCGCATTTCTTCCTCTCGGACGAAAAATTGCACACGCGCGTCGGCAAAGGAAAAGCTTGATACGCAGGTAGGAGGACTTGTAACCGACGGGTAAATAGTTCCCCGCCACATCCCCGGAAGCAATTACACTGGGCGGGCGCTTTACGTGGGCTGTGTACTTGTTATTTGTCCATTAGGGGTATTGCACGTGTGCGTGTGTGGTGCCGCAGGCAGATGTTTCGATGAATCGCCCACCAGGCCAGGCACTGCCAGAGCGAGAGAGAGAGAGAGAGAGAGAGAGCGGTGGCATTTGAAGACAGATGAGGCCACGTGCCGCGTACGCACACTGTAAAAAAATACATTGTGTATCTTACAACCTCATCTCTGGTTTATGTAAGTTCTAACCCGTTCTAACCCCGGTCGTGAGGGTAAAATTTGACCTGTTAATTGAAGGTGTGAATTGTGAAACGATATTGCTCCTAGCTTGATTTCATTTGTATTCCATCTATAGCGAGAGAGAGTCGTCTGTAGAGTGGAGCGGGCGCACAGGCGGGGGTTTGCAACGTGCGGCAGAACTGCAGCGATACTGTAGGAAACAATAAGGCGTTTGCTCCCGCACCATCCCGAACCTCTGGCTTTTATAGTTAGCGCGGTACAAAGGCGAAACGGTTTAATTAGGTTGGCCGCGCGTCGCGGTATTCGGCGGCCGAAGCGAGAGAGAGCTGGTCGGATCGGGGCGGGGCGGTATTCAGCGCCAGAAAAACGAGCATCAGGCAAGCCGCGCAAATGTTCTCATCGCGTGGGGGTGCACCCAGGAAATGGTATCCTTAAACCAAGGAATTTTCTTAAAAAAATAAAAATACAAGCAGGTAATTTTCGACCTCCTAGGTTTAAGGTTTCTCCATTAATTTCAAGGGGATCTAAGGAAATTTTTACTGTGTTTTAACGTCATTTTCCTTAAGTTAAAGACAATTTTCCGAGTATTTTTTGGGGGTAAAAATAGCGCTGAAGCAACGCATTTCGCCTTGTTCCAAGATTACCATTTTCTGGGTGTGCAGCAGAGCGGGAGAGCAGAGAAGAGGAGCAGAGACGGGTGCGTGCACCATCACTCATTTCCTGCAGATTCTCTTCCGGCCGCCACCAGCGCTGCTGAAACAAAACGATTCCGCCGCCGTCCCCCGCGCGAATTCCATCGGGGGAATTATTGCAGAGCGCCGCGAGTGGTTGAACGCGCGCCGGGGCGGCGGTGGCAGAGGAATTCCCGCCGCCTTTTCTCTTAAACCCGAAACTTTTTTGATTACTTCATCAATCACCCCTCGCCGTTGACGATGGTGGAATAAATCTCCGCGACGTAAAACGACCACGCTGCGCGACCGCCAACTACTATTCCACGTAAACGTCTCGCTTCAAGTGCACAGGCACAGGGCTTACAGCCCGTTACAGTGGCCTAAAACTGTAGAAATTTTGGGCTCGGCGTTTTTTTTCTCTCCGGGGGGAATGTTTAGCGGCTACCCGGCACGCCCACTTGAGCGCTTTATTCACTTTGCTTGTTTGTCCTACGGCGTCCCTTTCATATTGCGCGCGCTTCTTTACTTTCTCCTATCGCTCTTCCACGGCCCTCATCAAGCAGCCATCTTCCCTCCCTTTTGTGCCTTTTCTTGAAAAACAAAATAACATTCAAAACGGGTCGGATTACGTCTTCTATTTACCAGCAGGCGAAGTCGACCGGAAACATCCCGGTTTCATATTGCGCCTTTCAAACAAGAATCTCCGTGATTTTGACGACAGTAATTAACATCCTTTCTAATTCACTAAACGTAACTACCGATTAATTCGTCATTTATTCGACGTTAAGAAAATTCGTTAACCCATTAGCCGGAGTGACCTTAGCCAATTTATATTTCGTGCTGTTATCAGCGAGGTCACCAAAGTCAAAGTGACAAGTAAAATTCCAACAGTGGATCGTTTGGGCTTTGGCTTGTCCCTGGGACTAAGAGCGGCCACGCCCCTGGCAGCCTCCGAGCACTGTTTTCTATAAATCTACCCTGATACCAGAATTGCTAATTACAAGTAACTGAACTGCGCTGGTCTCCAACTCGCACTCATGTCAGATTACCTTTTTTTTAGGAGAGAGAGAGAGAGAGAGAGAGAGAGAGAGAGAGAGAGAGTTTTCTTATATTTCCGCTTTCCGCGCACCTTGCGCAAACCGATACTCGCTTCCGCCAGCCCGATCAGTCGCTGATTAAAATACTTTTAAAAATCCTCACTCCCCCTCTTCTAGAACCGAACTTTATACAAAAAAAAAAACGGGAGTGGCCGGGCTCCACAGCAATTAAAAAGTCAAAAAGCTTGTAGTAGCGATAAAAGTGGGTGGCCGGCAGCGAATGAACCTCCCCTGCCTCTTCCTCCTCCTCGCGGGGCGGGCGGCTCTGAAAAAGGGAAGTCACCCGGCATCGCACCGCGTCGCCGCCGCCGCGTGCAATTCGGGAATAATTTAGATAGAAAACAGTCCGGCCGGGCGTCAGTAGGCACAGCAGCGGTGCGATTACTTACTTTGTGGCGCTCTAATTGCGGCCGGCCCAGCTGGGGGGCTCGCGAGCGGCCTCGTGCCGCTGGAGGGGAGAATGGAGTCCTCCTCCTCCTCTTCTTGCAAGACAGCCGGCGGCGGCGGTGCGGCGCAAAGCGGTGTGCTTTATTCACGTGACCATTAACGTTATCTGCCGTTTAATCGGCTGGCGGAGAGGATCAGTGGCGCGTGGGGCCGGGCGGGCGGTGAGCCGCGCGCGGCAGTAGGAAACGCAGCAGAAGCTGATGGTCTTTAAAAATACATCCAGATTTATATGGAAATAAAAAAGAAATTCTTTATTGGCATGCGCAAGCGCGCTCTTCTGTAGGAATTCCTGAACGGAATGCTAAAAAAAAGACGATTGCTGTGTTTCAGGTTGAGACATGGCGGGCATCACCATGGACCACGACGCCCAACGGCTCAACCTGCTCGGCAACCTGAGCCAGCTGTACAATGTCTCGTTCGACGACCTGCAGCTGGCGCTCAACCTCAGCGCGCAGGCCGAGCAGGCTGACTGCTACTGCCCCTCAGGAGTGAGTACCTCTGTAAACTGTTTAGTACACTAAACTGGGAGTAATTATTATAAAAGACATCATGCAATAAAATTCGAAGCCTACGGTTCATCATAAATTCTCCGGGGAATTGGATCAACGTTTCTTGACAGAAGCGTGAAAGAAACTCCTGCTATTTTTTTTTCGGTTGTCTCTCATTTCTTAGGGGTGGGTGGTGGAATCAGTGCCTATGCAAATGTGACCCTTGTTCTGCGGATTAATTTTTCCACGCGAGTGGTTAGTGTGGGGGTGCGGGGGTGCAGTGGGCCCTCCACCGCCTCAGCGCCCGCCGAGCGCAAGGTAGACAGACCCGCGGCGCACGCCCGCTCGACGGGTCGGCCCTCCCACCACCACACGGGCGCTCCCCGACAAAGAACTGGCCTGTTTGCTCATCTCTACCAAAGAACAAAAACTTTGCGGTATGACCAACGAGTTTTACGGGTTTTTTGAGCCATGGTACGGGTATCCGTTTATTTGAAATAAATACATAAAACGAAACAAATACGCAGTTTGATGGGATGTCACGCGTCGACTGGGCAGCAGTTGGTGCGGGGTCGAGTGGCTGCGCGGCTGCTGTGCCCTGGCCGTCGTCCCCATAACACTCTGGCGCTCCTCGCCGGCTGGGCCGGGCCGGGCCTTTTGGGGCTGGAAACGCAGACGCCGACGTAACTTGATAGGCCTGGAGGAGTCGTGAAGGGGGTCGTCACGGAGGGAGGCCTGGACCTCCAGCAGTAACAGGGCAATGGGGGGGGGGGGGCTGCAATCATATATATTCCCTTAGGGTTCACTCCGCGTGTAGTGGAGGGAAAGAAAGGGGGAGGGGGGACAAAATGAGGACGTCTTTAGCTCTGTTTGAGCACAGAAACAAAGCGACGGCCGGAAGACTCATCAGGCATAATTAACTAATGAAGTATTTGGGACCGCGCGCTCCGCTCCTCCTACGCGCAACTCAAGTTTCGCGGATCCGTTACGGCTTGAACTTTTGTTTTGAAAGGATGCCGTGTGTGCGTGGGTGTCTGTGAAACCCGGGATGAGGAGGGGGGCAGTGGTTGATATTTGTCGTCGAACGTCACACGCTGCGCCTCTCTGTCAGCGGTGACCCCTCTTGGGCGACATGGAGATGGAATATGGCGGTGGTGTGTGTGGTCCATGGGAGAGGAGGAGCAGAGAAGCCCTCGAGAGGCCCCTGCGCGTCGCCACAGGGGCATTGACTGGTGGCGTGTGTGGTCCAGATGTCCACCCAGCATCGCACTCTGAGAGGAGAGAGAGATGAAGGAGGGCGCGGGAGGCGGGAAGTATATATAGAGAGGAGGACGAGCAACCATCTCGCCATGCAGTGTTCGGTAAGATGTAGGGGGAGGAGGGTGGGCGACCCGCGCCAGCGGCGGGGTTCAGGAAGGGTTGGCGGGGGCGTGGCGTCGTCGCCGGAGCAGACGAGAATTTAGGGCGGGGGCGTAGTGGAGTGGCCCCCCGAGGGGAGAGGGTGGGTGGGTGACGCGATGTGCATCATCTTTCGTCTCGCCATATTATTTTTGTGACGACAGAGATTCACCTTTGGGATCACATCAATTATCAATTGACATCATAGACGATAGCTCTGGCGCGAGATCTCGTGCTCAATTCTACTATGTATCTTAATTGACCTTTTTCCGTGCCGTCCGGTTTGCTCGCTGTGCTGTCCTGGCGCCCCTCTTTCTCTCTATTTCGTCGAAGGCTCTGTTCTGCTCGCGCGATCGTCTTTTAGCAAAAGACGGGCGGAATAAGGTGAAAAGGTCACGGCCGCCTGCTGCCTGTCCGCTTCGCAGCTGCCCACCACCGCTTCCCTGCAACATGGACAACAGTTTGTTCAACTAAATTTGAAACGAATCTGGGAACAGCACGGGGCGTTTTAATAGCTATTGGTTTCACAGCAGCGTGTCCACATAGGGGTGACGCCCGGGATCACTGAGTTAACCGTAGTGTGAAGTACCAATATTTTACTCGATTTTACTGCTTCTGATATTGTTTTCATAATTGACGGGTTCAAAACTGATGTCGTGTTTTTTTTTTCGCTGCGTCGCTGTCCTTGCACAGGGCGGCGCTAAATGGTGCGTGTCAAATAAGTAAATTGTTTTTCTCTCACGCTCCGGCTCCGCTCCAGCCAGCTCCGTGCGCCGGCCAGACACACGGCGGGCTTAATCATAATTGCTGAAATATTGTGGTCTTTGGCGCTCTTCCGGCGGTTGGGCAAGACACTTAATAAATCAGAGAGGTCCGGCAGTAAATCACGCGTTAGTGCGACTTACACGGGCTACTTCTGTGTGTGTATGGGACACGTCTGAAAAAAAAAAAGAAGAGAAAAGGTTTTCGGACTTTGTTTATTCGATACCACATTCTTTGAATGAGTATTAACTCACGCGCGACGTTCTGGTATTTCGCTCGGTTTTCGCCCTAGATAATATGCATAGTGCATCACCCCACCCCCTCCCTCCCCTACATCCGTCTGAGTAGAACGTAAACTGAACGCCCGACGCGTCACGGTCTAACGGAACTCCCAATCTAAAGTTTGTTTTTCACGCAGCTCCGCTGCCTGCGCACTCCTAGACGGCAAAGCGCTCCACTTCCGGTCGCCGATTCCGCTTTCCGCTCCCACATCCGCTCCGACTCCCGCCCCCCCTTTTCTCCCTTCCGCCCCGCGCCACTCGTTTGACTTCGGCACCGGCAAAAAGTTTTAACGTAAGTAAGCATCCTCACTCTTGTGGAAAGAAAGCACGGCGGGAGCTCCTCCTGCCCCCTTGCACCCCTCTCTCTGTCTCTCCAAGAGCTCGGCCAGGGACAGGTTACGGTTTGTTTACAAATGGACCCGCCGCGTCGGATCGAGAAGTCTGCGGCACCTTGTCCCCCCCCCCACCCC